AAATGTTTAAACTTTACTTTTCTCTATCCTAAGTAAATTCATTGGCATACTGTACTGAGAAACAGAAGCAGTCTTGGGCTGGGCCAACACTTGGATTCAAACAGACCAACTGATACATTACAATATTCTCAGTTTTGCGGGGAATAATAATAATAATAATAATAGCAACAACAACAACAACAACAACAACAATAATAATGCCTATCCCAGGTAGTTGGGAAGGTCTCAATAGGTGGACAAAAATGCCAAATCTGGTCTACATCTGGCTAATTGTGCGACAAACAATTAATATTTTTTAAAAAATCAAATGAAGAATCAACGTATTTTGAAAAGAACATATGTAATATGTTGGCCTCAAGGAAGAACATGCGTGATTATAAGATAAGATTAGCAAAACAATTCAATGATGTCCATTCAGTATTATTTCTTTGATTAAAGAAGCATATAGGCAAGCTGCAATTAAAGATAAGCAGTTGCTCTTACATATCTGAAGCATTTAAAGCACTGGTCAGCTAAAAGAACCAAACACGTGCAATCTTAATCTAAAGCTTAATGGTGAGTTTGACCATTACAATGAAATAATCATACTGCTCTCTGACCTCCAAATAACCTTTGTATCCCCTTCCTGAATGGTGATAGGCCTGGCTGTTGAGAATTACTAAAAATAAACACTTGCCTAGCACACAATAATGCAATTAAATAGTTACTGTCATCTCCTTTCCATATTCTCCTTTTCTCCTAAGAATAGTAGTGCAAGTCACAGAAGAACCCATTAAATCAGAAAACCAGAGCCAAGAAGTTGTTTGCACTAATAATGAGGCTTGGGATTTTAGTCAAAAAGAGAATTAAGGTTCAGAATTAAACTCCAGGGAAACAAGTAGATAAGTAAAGGCGTTCATTATAATGGATAGCATGATTTCCATTGTATGTCTTTTTAGATTATTATTTCTCTTCAATACAGTGATATAAAGGTAACCAAAGAATAGGCAAGTTTAAATTTACGGTATATTTTCAATTTAGGAAAACTGATTTATCATTTAATTTGTAATATAAAATTATCTAAAGCCGATTGGATTGTAAAAAAAAATTACACTTAACACAATATTAAAATCAGCAGCATAGTGATAATAAAAAACATAAGTTTTATAACAATCCATTAAAAATATCAAAAAATAAACTCAGTATAGTTAGTTAGTACCCACCTCTCAACTAGAAGAATGACATATTTTGAGAAATATTTAAAGGCAGAATATTATATTTTCCTGGATGAGAAGTAGAGAAACATGTTTTTCTTAAAAGACAGAGAGCAGACTCAACCCCCCAGAAGATTTTTGTGCCCATTGAGAAAGATTGGGCCAGCCTATCTATAAAACAAAAGACCTTCAAATCCAGGGTGAAGGGATTAAGATATGACCCTCCAGGACATAATAGGATTAACCCACAAGCGGTAGAGCTCACTACATTACACTGAAGGGAATAGTAATAATAAATAAAGAAATGTAGTACAGTATATTATAGCATTAAGTAGAGAGTTACCCTATAGACATTTGTTATCTTGCTGTTGTAAAAAAGATTTCCTTAACCTTTCACTTGTTGTAAAACAATTATAAACCAATGCCCGCAGTCAATTACATCCCTCTCCTATTAAGACACATGATTGTCCCATCTAAATCAATCTGAATCCATCTGTTTTCCTAGACTGATACATTTCACCCCAGCATCAAACGCCTGGGAATGAAACATACTTCTCTGGGAATGTAATGTACCTCCATTTGGAGGAATCCACACCTTTGAAGTATGCTGTTAATAGCCTCCTTAAGTGGTCAATTGTGATCAATTAGATGGACAATAGTAGAAGAGATCGTGAAAGGTAAACATTGCCAGGAAAAGATCTATCTTTTGCAGGAAGATGTACATCTAAGTTAGAGCGTTTTGCAATGCACTTAAAGTATATGACTTGACTTCTAAGGATCTTAAGGGTATAAGAAGACCTTACTTTCTCTATATGCTTTGTAGCCTTCCTCTCATATCTATCTTGTGCATATGTGAGGATAGGTCTTACCCTAACCTTATTGATCAATTAAAGTTAGATTTTGTTCTTCAAAGCCTCTCTTAAGTTCATTTTTGGCACATCGTGATCTTAAGTTATAGCCAAACTTTACAGCACAATCTCCTAAGGACATTGCATCAGAGACCAAACTTCAACCAACCTTCTCAGACAACCTACGGAGCTAGCTATGACCCCTACAACAGCCAATAGAATACATGTTCTTGCACAGGAACAGGAAGTTCAAGTGCAAAGACCAAGAGAAGGTATAAAAACCCCTCATTCTCAATTCCATATGATCAGCTGCCCAGAACCACCCATGTACTTCTGCTTCATTAATAAATGGACACTTTCCAATCAGCCTCCAGCCTCCATTTTGTCTCCAGTGCCTTTCCCCCAGCTTGGAACTGAACCAGATGGATATTTCTTCCAACGTCAACTTAATGGACTGATATTCTCCTTAACAAAAGTCTTCAAAGACCAACTTGAAAACTGAAAGTGATAAGAATCAGAGAAAATTCCAGAAGACAAAGATCATCACTAAAAGTGTTATGAACTTCATACTTCATTGTATGTTATCAATGCAAGCAAGTAAAGTTACTTTCGTAAATTTTTAATTGTCACTAACTGTGAAGTTTGTTTTTTTAATCTTCTGTTCAGTCATGTTCAATTCTTGGAGACTGCCTAGATAAGTCCCTGCAGGGTTTTTGGGAAAGTTTTTCAGAAGTGGTTTGCCAATGCCTCCTTCCTAGGATTGAGAGAAAGTGACTAGCCCAAGGTCCCCCAAATGGCTATGTGCCTAAGATGGAACTAGAACTCCCTGTCTCCCAGTTTCTATCCTGATCACTTCATCATAGGTGCTCATTCAAATAATTTAGTGCCTACTTAATCAGAGTTTTCAAACTGAATATTTTGAATATAGTTTTGAAATGATAGGCAGTGACTAAACCGAGCAATAAATAGGTGTAACATTTCCTTCGCCTATCTTATAACTGACATTGTCTCAGTGGTTGGAACATCTGAAACTTAGTACGATACTGAAACTTTGTTTAAAAGACTTTTAAACAAAGTTTCAGTACTGTAGCTCAGAGTTCCCCAACATTTCTGGCTTTGTTGATCAGTGGGAGGAGGGGAAAGGGATAGCTTGCACAAGCAGTCGGCAAGAGCAGACACGGGGGGCTCCATTTGTACAAGCAGTGTGCACTTGCACCTATTACACCTGCAAATGGAGTTCACACATACAGGTTTGCCTGCTGCTTGCGGAAGTGCGAATGTGCATGCACCTTTGCATGCTCGCTGGCTGTTTCCACAGCCCAGTTGCAAACTCCTACCAGTCTCCTACCAGTCTACAGGTTGGGGGTATTTGCTGTTGCCTACTCTGGGTGTAATCAGGACACGAGGCCAGATATGCTGTGTGCAGATAAGATTATCAGAAGATAAATAAAAATCTTTATAAAATTGGTTAGGGTTATTTTATTAGGATTGAGATGTCTCTTACTTTTAAGCTCCAATAAAGTCAGTGAGTATTTTAATTGGATGATTCCTCCATCTAATTAACAAAAAATGTTGGACAATTTCTTCAACATTGCTTTTATTTGTATTTTTCCATGGTTACCAACTACTGTTTTTTCTCCTTCCACAAAAGACCCCTGGATAATGTCTTTTCACATATAAAACCATGCATAATACAGATATGTGAATAAACAGAAATTTATGTCTCATACACACGTTGGAACTCAAAATCATCAATTAACACTAAATATGGAGAGATTTGGGATGAATAAAAGAAATACTACACATGGTTAACACAGCATTAACCATGCTGCTGGTCATAAATTTAAATGGTTTTAAAAGAGAACTAGATAAATCCAAGAGGCTAGACAGTTTAATTACAGGATGCCATGTCCAAATTCATTGCAGTATGGTGTCAATACAAGCTGCCATGGAGCAAAAGAGATATATATCACTTTCTTCTCTGTATTTGTAACATTCCTAAAAAATATAGTTACCCTGCGTGTAACTTGAAATGTTGTATTTTGTTGACAAGACCAGAGGAATTCTTATAATCTTATCAATTAGAGGCATTCTTAATTGCCCATTTTAAACATGATTTACTGTTATGGAGAAATACCATAAAACCTCTAAGCAAAAATGTGGTGCGGGGGAGGAAGATTGAAGAATTTACCTCCCAGTTTCATCACACCAGAAGTTTTCATTTTGTCCAAACTGGGTACTTCAGCCTTCACATCATTTTAAAATAATTAATTAAACATGGCTTCTTTGGACAACTTTTGCTTATCTGACCTATTCATTTATATATAATGAAAAATTAGGTCATTTAAAAGCAAGAATTTAATTAGTTTCTGATCCTTCTCCAGTTTGTCTGTAGATTTAAAAACAAAATTATCTGTGTGACAACAAGAAAACAATGGGATGTTTGAAACATTATTACATATGGAAACATTTATGTATAGGAAAAATTGCAAGCAGTATTGAAATTACTTGATTACAATTTTTTGACCTTTATTGCAGAATCATTTATCAAATCACTACATCTGTTAATCAAATCCATAGTCTTATGCAAATCCGTTGTTTGCTATGGTACATTTTTACCATAAACACCAAGCTTCTGCAAAAACATCAAAAGTCATCATGTGACTACAGAATGTGTCAAATTATAAATGCAGGCCACATGACAAGTGCCCAAAACACAGTCACATGACTGCAGGTGGCCATCAAACATTGGAACTGGGCTATAAGTATCTTTTGAGTGGGGGGTCTATCATAATTTTCAATAGTCACTAAGTCAGCTTGTGGCTACTTTTTGAGAAACAGTAATATGGGAGTAAATCCAATGCAGGCAACTTCTGCATCCGATCTTTAAATCGTGCATTTCCAAATTACATTAAATTAAAATCTGCTTCCCTTGCCACATGTTTTTAACCTGATTTACCTCTTTCAAGTCCTGCAAAATTGCTGTCAGTCGTTCATTCTCTGCTTGAACGTTGGTAACCACAGTTCTACTTTGCTTCAGCTCGTTCTGCATTTCCAAAATCTTCCCAAGGTAGTAAGCTTCCTTTGATGCCGACTCCTGAAGGAGTGTCTCTTCCCTGGTCTCACCATCTTCAGCTACTTTACGGTGGACTGAGAATGAGTGTCCAAATGCCTGCAGGATTAAAATAAGAGCCCCATTAAATAAATAAGTAAACCTACAAGCAAACTGGTAGTTCTCTATTTATGAATTTCTGCTGCTAACCAATAAAGTTGTTGAGGCAGAACATAAAGAAGGATATAAAAGATTGTTCTTTTGATAGTGAAATGTGTGTATTAAAGAAATGAAAATTTTCAGGTCATAGGTTCATCTGTTGGTCACTCACTCATATTTGTCAAGCAGGAAGGTTTGTTATAGATAACCTTGCAACAAAACCACAAGTGTACCACCGGAAACTAGAAGCCATGGAAATTCACCTTTGACATAAATTAGTGAAAGGGGAAGGTATTTTGTTACTCTAGCCTAGCAACAAGGGGCTGTGTTCAAGTAACCAATGGATGAATGACAAGTTACATTTCCGTGGTTTAGTACTTCTGAAGTGTATATATGAGAGTGTAAAATCTATAGGAAGCTGTTTACATGTTGGTTTGGCTAAATTGCTCTTGTGCAAATAAAATTATTTCTGATTCCAAGGTCTGAGTCTTGTAATTTCCTGCAACAAAGTGAGCTGCACTTGATTTTACAATCTTTTTTGCCACCATTCGTTTACTTTACTTTACTTTACTTTACTTTACTTTACTTTACTTTACTTTACTTTACTTTACTTTACTTTACTTTACTTTACTTTACTTTAC